GTCAATGGTTCTCTTTTTACTGTTTACAAAATTGGTAGCACAGTGCGTCTTTGTTTGGTAAAGGGCATTAGCAGTCATAATTTGTATGGCCACCTGCTACATAATGGAACTCTAATGTGGGTTTTAATATCTTAATTTATAAGTGTCGATTTCTTAATAGGGCTTTGAGGCATATGTTGGCTTACTCCTCCTGAAGACTGCATTGGTCGGCGTGGTTCCTGAATGGCAGGTGATGTATTGAAAGTGTTTCTATTAGTTCTGATTCAAAACACTATTTCCAACTTGTGTAAAGACTCTGAACATGCTTAGACGCAAACTGATGGATAACATATGTTGTAGGTACTATTTTGTGGATTCCTTTTGGTTCTAATGGCGATCGGGAACTTCTCAAATACAGTGCAAACCTTAATGGCAAAATCAAGATTCAAGGCAAAGATGAAAAGAAGCAAGAGCAAGCAGGAATTGGCCCAGACCAGTTCTTAATACATAGCGTTGCTTTAATTGACAACTTAGGATCTATTCTTCACCTTTCCGGGTCTTGAACATGTTTTTCGAAGCTGAGCTGTGAGAATTGCCTTTCCTCTTCCCCCTTTCTATATCTTCTTTTTGACTCAATACACTTTTATCATGTAAAGTTGGTCTTGCATAGGTCCTTCCCTGGAGAAGTTGATGGAAGTGCAACTAAGCGCAGGACTCATTTTCCAGTTTCCCTTGTAACATTCTTCTTTTTTCTACTGCAGTTCATTGCGAGCTAGTGAGTTTTTGAAATGTCCTATCGAATGTCTTGTAATTTCAGTCGATTATCGTATTTAATTGTAATGGGAACAACGGTTCAGATGTTTACTGTATCAAAGCTTTTGGTATTTTGCTCTTTCCAATTTTCATAGGCTTAGCAAAATGGAAGCCTTAGTTCATTGCATGGAAGTATTGAGTGAGCAGGTTAAACCCTATTCCTAACCTATGGTAACTCGAATCAAAGTCTGCAGCACCTTTCCTTCAACTAAATCATGCAGGATTTCTGTGTCAATTCCCCATCTTCGAACATGATACGATAATTGATCACCAAGATCGAATGTGTAGCAAAAGAAAGTTCAGATCCTCCAGTTGTGCGATGAAAATTCTTGGGTTTGAACATTTCTGTCTCTGGTGCTGGCTTGGTTGGAGATTTAAGTAGACCTCCGCATTGAGCTAATGCCATAATCATTCTCATCCTCAATAGGTTTTACACTACTTGTGAATGGTGCTTATTGGACACTGCAGTCTTTGAAGTATTTAAAATAACGTATGATCTTTGCATTACAACTTCAATAACATATGATCTTTGAAGAAGTGAATGAAAAGTGTGATATTTCCTTGCTGGGTATAAGATATATTATTTCGGAGATGTAGATTATAAATTACTGGTAACAGGCTGGATCCTGGGAGCCCAGGTGATTTGGCACGTGAATCAACAGGTTGGCCCCCTCTTCTTTTGTAGTTTTGCCTTTGTTGGTATTTTTTTTCCCCTTTTTGTATTCTTTCATTGAAAAGCTTAAAACAACTTATTTAGAGTCGTTATGGTTCATGACTTTATACCACTTCTGATTTGGCGCAACCTAACAATTCACAACTCTTAGAGCGATATTGTTTTTCAAAAGTGTCATCTTCCACATTCAGTCCCTTTCAAAGATTATTCAATGTATAGAGCACTCTTAATGTGGGTGAAAAGAAGATTTCATAATCAAGAGCTTGTCAAATCATTTTCTTCTATAGTGATGATTAAATTGTCGATCCCCCGTCTTGTTAATCTTAAACACACAAAAGAAGGAAAAAGGGGGAAAAGAAAGAACCTTATTCTTCTCTTTATTTCTTTCACTAATTCATTTGCTGGGATTTATGTACTTTAATTTTGGACTCCATATTGAGCTTTAGTATGTTTAGCTCGTTATGGTTATCATTTATTAGTGAGTTGAAATTTCTTGCTATTTTTTTTCCCTTTGTTGAATATGAAAAATGTAGTGTGAGAAGTCAAAATTTAATCTCAGGAAAAGTAATATGTGTCTTATCCACCTAGCTTTATTCGGATTGGCGAAAATTCTCGCTATTGATTGGCCAAATTTAGCAATTGAGTTGAATTAATCTTAAAAGGATTGAAAATCAATAGAAGAACATGGATATAAATAATAGTAATAATAAATTTTGTCTATTTTAGTTTCGAAAAACACTATTACTTTTCTTTTTAATATTAAATTTCCTACTGTAAATTGTGGTCATGCTAATTACATCCAATGGACTCATTTACTGTAATATATTTGGAGAGGAAGTAGAAAATCTGAGGAAAAGCTATAAAGGCAAGTTTATTATTTCTCTTGAAGCCTCTTCTTAAAGATTTGGAACAAGTTGGGGATTGAATTCTCAAATTATTTTTGAAAAGTCCAAAAAAGGAAATGGGTTCTGTCGCTTTGCTTGTTTTATTTTGGAAGGAAAAAGTAGAAGAAGAAGAAGTTATTTCAGAATATAGAATGTGTCCAATGGAATCTAAACCTTCAACAAGTTCTTTTGGGCTAAATGAACAAAGATTAAGGTATATATCAATCTTGGTTGAGATATCGAGATCTCAATTTTACAAATATATCAATGAATACATAGTATCAATGTCGATGAATTTCCATTGATAATAAGTTCTTTCTACTTCTTAAAATTATATTAGCAGTGACCGATCGATGATATATTTTATATTTCATTGATATTTATATAAGATTTTGAAAATATCGATTATTCTTAACACCGATGTTGATTATTGAAGTATATACTGTCACATCCATGAATATTTTAATTATTTTTGGTTGAGAAAGAGATGGTTGAGAATGTAAATTATGAAAACAAAAAGAAGGAAACTTGATGATGGAAAAGCAAGTACTTTTGGATATGTAAAAAGAAAGAAATTAAACGGTATAGTTTTTCAAACTCATGTACTTGTTAGAGACTAGCTTGGTAAGTAAGAAAGTACAAGAAACAAATAAAAATTCCCTCATAACTTTTTTTGGGTTGGTTATATTCTCAAATATCATAACAATAGAGAGGAAAAGAGAGAGAGAGATGATAAGGTGGAAGAAACTACGTGAAGAAAGGATTCTCATTTTATCCTTTGGTTCATACCTGAGGGATTCTTAAATTCACTACTTGTATTTTGGTTTAATTATTTATGTTTATGTTAATGAAGTTTTAGAAATTATTATCCATTTCTCTTTCCCCTCGTATAGAGATAAAAGGTCTTTGTGAACCGTGATAAAAAAACGTTTATTTAGCTTCCTCTTTTTGTATGTTTCTCACATACTATTTGAATGAATGGTTTGTCGTTCTTTCAAAAAAAAAAAAAAAAAAGAAGAGATAAAATTTTAGGTCATTTCGTGATCTCTTCGGAGCAACTTTAGAGGCATATGGCAAGATTTTCTCGCTGCATCGAGATAACTTTATGTTAGGATTTAATATGCTTATTATGACTAATTACTGGTAAAAATTTAGTAATTAAAAAATTCTTATTAGTCTTCCAATTTTTTCTAAAGTATTGTTTTTAGTTCAAAGTTATGAGCATATAATATATATATATATATATATATATATATATATATTAACCTCTATATTCGAAAATTTGGTCACAATTCTTGACAGCTATATAAACTTCTAAATCTCTTTTATTCCTCACATAATCTCTTAATTATCTATAACTAATTTTGTTCAATAATGGTGAGTTATCCAAATATTGAAAACTCTACAAAATTTTTAATAATTAGTTCCAAATTAAAGGTAATCCAACCTTTAATTTCCAAATAATCTTGTCTTAGTACTTTATAATTTACTTTGACAGTGATCTCTAAGGTTTGTATTTATTGAGGTCAAGACACGGTAAGGGTTTAAAAAAGTAATTTGAGATGGGTTGTGTCGTAGACCATTTATATCAAAAATTTTCCTATAAGATATGTTAGCTTAAGACTAAAAAGGTGAGAAATTTAAATTAAAGAAAATTTTTTTAATTCTAATTTAAAAGAATAATTAAATAATTATAAACATTATATTCTAAGATACTTTAGAGAACGATGCATATAACATCGTTCATAGATCTCGATGTAATAATATATAAGTTATCTTCTAAAAGGAGAGATAACACATATAAATTTCATTTCTCACTAGGTTGAAGAATAGTAGTCCCCTATCATACTACAAAATTGAAGCTAGAGAAATTTTAAAAAGCTTATAAAAAAATACAATTATCCATACTTCCAACCTAGTCTAAGTCCATGTGCATTAGTAGATTCATTGTTGAAGCCTATACTTAGGCTCTCAAATTTGTTAGATCAATCAAAGGAGAAAAATATTTTCATAAAATCAAATATGAAATCAATGGGAGATTGGGTGGAAAATAATATCCAAATAAATAAGGTATTTATCCATATGGCTTGCGTTGAACGCTCAAAACACGTTGGTATTAAATTAACAAAGTATTTGAACCATTTGTTAATAATTATATTATTGTATACTTTTATATGATGTATTACTTGATAAGAAGAATATCCAAGAGGAAGATTTGTCTTTCTTTTTTTAGATGTAGGAGTGGGAATGAAACATTTAATCTTAGAGAACGTAAGAAGATATTATTTAATCCATTCATCAACTTTATGCTCTAACCTGTTTAATTTTGACTTTTTATAAAATAACCAATCTTATATATATATATATATTTTGAAACAAATATGTTCATTTAGACCAGTTTTTTTTCTTCAACAAATAATATATGAACTCTTCAAAGTATATTCATTTGGTAGGTTAATAAAGAAAACTCCTCTAACTAAAACCAAGTGGAATTTGTCCTCCATCTAGACCAAGTGATAATAAAAGTTATCCTCCAATTACCCCATCTTTGGGGTAATTCTTAATGTGTAATCCAAGCTAATGAGATGTATAATTAGATTAAGAAATTATGGCCCGTAAACTTAATTTACATAGATAATACTTCTGGCATTACTACAAAATTATGACCAAGTGCTTGATTTAACTTTTAAGAAGTCTTGACCAATAAACAATGTTTAAATCAGCATGAGATTGCAAGTGATTGTTCAATCATATAGAAAAGCATAAATTAATTTTATAGAATATGCCATAACAATAATATATCAATTATATACAAAATAATAAATATGATTTCCAAATTTTGAAACAAAAAACCATAGATCCATTGTGAAGTTCTAAGCTCAGTTTTTTAAGCAAAATACAGTGACTAATTGTTATATAATGAGTGAGACTTACAATATGAAAATTATATATATTAAAAATTAAAATTTCAAGAGTGAATGTAAAAAGTTTGGTGAAGTTTTCCATATTGAAATTATTATAACCATATTAGTAGGATTTTGAAATTTTCTTTTGACTGATTTTTTTCTTTTAATTTCATCCTTTATATATTATGAATTATATATCTTTTTAGTTAAATCCTGCCAATCACCAAATAAAAGAATGGCATTAATTTTATGTTTCAAAAAATGGCATTTTCGAAAAATAGTAATTATTTTTATAAGGTTGTCGATTTCTAAAATATAATAATATTTCAATGAACCAATTTTCTATAATAACAAGTAATTAATTTTGGGTCAAGTAATTTACTATGTGCGAAAAGGTTTTAATTACAAATCAATTTGATAAATTGAAAGAATTAAGTCAAATTATAGGATAAATTATAAAAATATTCTCTAATTTTTTATAGTTGTATCTAAACCTCAAAATTATTCAATGACATATCCTTAAGTTTTAAATCATAATTATGTCTGTTATAATCGTTGTTAATAATAATAATAGTATATCAAATGTTAATTGATTTGGCAAATGAATCTTTACATTGTGCAAATAAGACTGAGTTATTACAAATCTCCACTCCCACTTTTTTTTTTTTTAATAGAAATCTCTACCCGGCTTGTTCTATTAAAAAAATTAAATTGAATTAACTTACTTTTGATAGGTTATATATTTAGTATTTATACGGTTTTATTGCTTACATCATGCAAATTTAGTTAATTTTTTGTGTTGATATTTTTAAGAACGAAAAATTCAATTCGTTCGTGGGTTAAATGGATTTTTAGTCAGTTCAATCCAAACCGTATTAAACCCCCTCTCGCTCACCCCTTCGCCTCCCATCTCCCTCAATCTCATCTCACCTCATTATCTTTGATTTCATTTGTCAATGCTGTCGCTTGAATCTCTCACGATTTTCATTTCATCTCTGATCTCTCCGACGTCATTGCTCACAACTTTCATCTCCAACTGTGAAGAACTTAGGGTTACTATGCTCTTGATTTTCGAGGAGGAAAGAAGGTGAAGGACCGTCGATTTTCCTTGCTTGCAGAGCTTCGATCCTAGTCTTTTTGGCTTCCATGGAAATGATTCAAATATATGCACGGAAATTGAGATGAAAATTGGGGCTAGAGATAGATTTTCCTTCTCGGCCCGCGATGATGCCTGCCCCATCGCATCCCGACTCTTGATCCGACGATAGGCTGGCCCAGATAACCAGATTTCCTAGATGTAGAAGGATTCGAATTCCACAATTACAGAGGAGATCAGGATTGGATGCTCACAATACCCTACAATTTATACTGATCCTAACTTAAGCATCGGAGGCCAATGTGACAGGAATCATACCGGTTTTAGTGTTTTTTTTGTTTTGGAGGTCTCGTCAATCTCTTAGTGCGAATTTGGCGGAATCCCAAGAGACCAAATTTCTGCATCAATGTTGCTCTTGCTAGATCGAGTTCTACTTCCATCGCCAAAATTGTGATTTGGTCTCTAATTCTCTTGTCCTCTCGCTTTTTGATTTGATTCCTATTTAGCAACTGCATTTGTACGTGTTCCAGTTCATGTAGATGGCTTTTGTCTCCTGTAATACTAATATTAAATGGAAAAAGTAACCAATGACCCAACACAACCCAACTTAAAAATTTCCATTGGTTCCCACCCGAATTTATGAGTTGGTCCAAAAAACCTTCAAAACCTGGCCCAACAACCCATGATCACCCCTAATTACACTTATCAAAATAACATAAACTATAAGTTAACGTGATCATAAGCAAGTAAATTATCATAAATCTGTACTTCAAGGCAAAAAAAAATCATGATAAATCTTATAAAAAGTACAGCAAAATTAATAAATAATAGGTCCCACCCGCTTTTTCTTTTTTTCCTAAAAACCATCCGTATTTAATTAATCACTACATAAATGAAATCACACCAATTCTTAATCCCGAAGAAAAGAAAAACACACACACACACACACACACACACACAACACATGGGAAAAGAAAAGAAAAAAACGGTTGCCAACAAAATATCACTATTTTGCAACTAAAGTTTTGGTGTTGTAAAAATATATATTGGGGAGACATTAGAATGTGGATCCAGTAGACATTACATGTGATTACAAAAGGGAATACTGTGTGTATATCACATGGCCCTGTGCCTGTGGCCACTTTCTCAAGGAACACAAAATTCAATTCTATTATTCAAACAAAAAAAAAAGAATAATTTGACGATATATAAATATAATTTCTAAGCATCCTCTTTCTTAAAGCTGCAACTTCCTTTTAACTCAGAAGAACATTGGTATTATTATTATATAAAAGATGATCATATATAACTTACACAACAACAACAATAATTAATAATATCACAAAGTTATTCAGCAAAAGAATGAAATAATACAAATCTTGATGAAGAATATGACAATGACATGAAAGAAATTTTTTTTTTTTTTCTTTCTTCTTCTTCTCCATCTCCTACTGAATTTTGACTCCAAACTGAAAGAGTTCGTTTATTTTTTCCCCTCTCAAATTTAATACAAGAATTGAGAAGAATATGATAAATAAAGAAAATTTCAACAGTAGTCAAAAGCATACGATCTTGATCTATATGCTGGTAGCTAGACACAAAGAAGGCAGAAAAAGGGAAGAGTATGAGAAATTAGAAAAGACTGTATCTCGGCAATGAAATTTTCTGGGGAAAAAAAATGGGATTGTAAAAGAAAATGGGTTAGGAATTGTTTTGGTGTAAATAATGAAACAGATGATGTGGTTTTTGTGTTGTTTATGGAGATCATGAGGGATTTGGATATAATAATAAATATCAAAGCATTTTAATTAATTTTGTGAGCTCACAGTACTATTGAACCACCGCCATTGATGGAAACTCACTCCCAACGCCATTGGAGTTCCCCACATTTCGTCTCTGAAACTCTATCTTATAATCCATACTATTCCTCTTTCCCTCCGGCACGTCGTCGCCGCCGCTGCAATAGTCGTCATCATCGTCTTCTTCGTCTCCGTTGCTACCGGGTTGTGGTACAAAGTGTGGGCGTTGAGGGTGATGATGCTCATCATCATAAAGCTCTTGCAGCTCCATCAACTCATTCACAATGTCTTCTGGCTTCAAATGCAGAAGCATAGTCGGAATTTATTCATAGAGGTACATTAATTAATACATAAAAAAAATTAAGCTTATAGACGAAACACTACTTCTAATGAATTTACCTTCGTGGGCGCGGGTTCTTCCGTTGGTTCTCCAAAGAGGCTGGCGGACAAATCAGCAGTGGCAGTGTTGTGTGGTTGAGATTGTGGAATTGGAAGAATGGGTGAAGATGGGGTTGTACTGGCAGTAGCGGTAGCGATGGCGGGAGCGTCGGGAATAGTAATAATCTTGCTCCGGTAGAGGGCGTCGAGTTCGTCGAAATAGGGGCAGGTTTTGGAGTCGTGGCGGCGTTTTTTGTTGCTGTCCTTGACCTTCTTGAAGTACTTGTTGATGTTCTCCCATTTCT